TGAGAAAGTAACAGATTCTGCGCTGTACTACTGTGCACTGTCGCCCACAATGACAGGAAACTCAACTACATTGTACAAAAACCTCCTGAACAATAAAACTCAGAAACTATGTAAATGTTCCAGAAATATCTTTCAGAGAATATAACAGAGCAGTTCAGACATGTAGAAATAAAAGCATCAAAGCATTACTACAAAGAAATGCATCTATAAATGCATAGAATTGATAATATAGATATGAGAAAGTAACAGGCAGTTTAGTTATATTTAAAAAAAGGTATTTGGTAACAGAACTGCACAAACAATCATGTACTGTAAATGTTGATATCCAGTAATCTATACAGTGCTTATTTACTAATTTACTATCTATTTCCTCCAGATCCAAAACAGTATTGTAAACTTTACCTGTAAAGATGCAGTTGTTAATATGAAAGTGGGAACCATGTGCACCTTGCTTTAAGTCAAGAAACCACAAAAATAACAAACACAGAAACTAGAAAGCACTTTAGAAATGTATATGGTTACGACACGCAGACGTAAATCATCTTATTATAAATTTAATGATGATGACCTTTAATCTACAGAAGAAGCTCCTCCTAAAAAGTGTTTGAGCTCTACTGCATCACAGAGAACCTAAAGCAAGAAGAGGATCAGAACTTCTCAGTGTATTTTTATGACTTTGGTGATTTCAGTTGGAAAGATAATGACACAATGGAAAAGGGTGGTTATCATTCTATTCACATATTTGTGGGGTAAGTGGCACCATTAAATACACTATGTAGTTTTTAGATTCATTTTAATTGTAGTAATGCAACTCCCCGTGCAGTTTGTGAGATTGTGTTTTCATTTCATTAGAAAATAGACTTACTTTTTTATTCTATTTTAGGATGTGATTCTCTGGACAGTGTTGAACAAAAAACAAGAGTTCAAACTGCTGTTGAAGGTGAAACTGTAACAATCAACTGCACATATTCAACTACTGATTCATTTCCATATCTGTTCTGGCACCAGCAAGAAATAAATGGATACCCTAGATATATGCTGAAGAAATTTCCTGGATCTGGTGAGGTTGATAAACAATTTGAAGGGAGATTTGATGCCAATCTCAACACCTCTAGAACATCAGTTCCACTGACAATCAAGGATGTGCGTGTGTCTGACTCTGCTGTGTACTACTGTGCTCTGAAGCCCACAGTGACTGAAACACACTCAACACGCATACAAAAACCCTGCAAATAAATGAGCCCTAAATTAAATTTAGATTACATAAACATCTACAATTTCAACCATTTCACTTCATATCATAAATCAGTTTACCCCATCTTTTAAATGTGACATTAAACCTAATGTAAATTATATTTAAACAGGTCAACACACAGTGACCAATATTCTGTTAAAACCATATGTTGAGTGCACTCGGTTATTACTAGAAATAAATTGAATATGATGTGAGCAGAAATACAACTCTTATTTCAATGCTTTGTTGAACAATGCACGTTTATTACATAACCCTATTGGGGACCAGAAGAGGGCGATATACACTCAGCATTCATGCTTCAGCTCTATAAGTTGCCATTGACAGTCAGAGAATATGTAAATGAGTGTTACATTAGGCATATTATTACCGACTTATTTATTAAGAAAAAAAAAATCAAAACACTACATGGCTGTAAATAAATTAAATCAGATTTACTAGATTTCTTTTATATTTGAACTCAAATATTGATCACCTAGAAGTACAATTAATTTCAATGCTGTGTTCTTATTCTGTGCAGTAATAAGGAAGAGCCTGTGGAGGTTTGAGTAAAAGCAAAGTGATCCTTTAAACTTCTCACAGTGCAAACATGATGATTCCTTGTGCTCTTCTTCTGCAATTGTTGATAAAAGTAAGTGAAGTTGACATGACCTTTAGACATAATGCAGTTTACATATTTTTAGACTGATTTTGTTTAAATGCTATAATGTTAATGATACAAATTCAGTTTGATGAAATATATTATATTTTATGTTTTCCAGGTGACACATTGGCACAGTCAATAACACCACAGGAAAACAAGGCACTTGCATCTGTCGGACAAATCATAATTTTGTCCTGCAAATATGAGGGAGCTTTAACTAACCTGCAATGGTATCGCCAATATTCTAGATCCTACCCAGAGTTCCTGGCTTGGATTTACCCACAAGCAACCCACTTCCTCCTCGTATTATACCAAAATTGGACAAAAATGTTGTGAGCCTGGAGATCTCTGATGCTGAAGTAACAGACTGTGCCATGTACTACTGTGCACTGATGCCCACATGGACAGGAAACTCATGTACGCTCTACAAATACCTGCTGAACAATAAATAATGTCACTCTCATTTCTTGAAATCTGTCCCTATACTTAACAAATGTGAAATGAATTTCAGTATTTGTTTACACATATTTATAACATTAAATAACACTACATTAAATGCCTACATAACATGATTTATAATAATTACAGCAAATCATTTCATATCCTCATATTTTCAGCATATTTTCATATTTTTCTGCCGTTTACTATTTTGTTCTACTTTTGTTATAACTTTAGTTCCCTTTCAGTCGGTCACTCTCGACGTCACGTCGGATGACCGACGATAACACAAATGCTTTTATATTTTCAATAACCAGAATACATCAAAACTTTAAGCTGCAAAGGTTTGGTTACATGCCACATTTGAGTGGATCTTAAATTTCTCCATCATGAAACTTTTCTCAAACCAAAATGAGCAGCTCAGTAATGATAGCACACCAGCAAAAGGATATAAAAACCTTTTCCACGACTGCTCATAATGAATAATCATCAACCTCCATCACAAAGTTGGCTCTTTTATCTTTTCAGAGTGTATTCATTACAAAGGATAAAAAAAATAAATAAATAGAAACCTTCATGTGTATTACTGTGCTCTGAGTGTTTTGGGAAATCAACTGAAGTTAGACTGTAATATGCTATTATTTTCCCTTTTCAAGACTTTTGCAATGTGTTATATTTCTGCTGGAGGAGGTGGAGCTCTAAGCACTGACACTTATTGTGATCTTGTTAAAACTCTTCAGTGCCTGTTGCAGAGCTCATTTAAGCTGCATTAGTGAACACAGACAATGGTACGCCGTTCTATTATTCTGCTATTTGTCTTTACATGTAAGTATTTAATTTTGTTGCATTATTCATACAGTATTCATACCACTGAATAAATCACTGATCACACTTGATTCACTAAAATATCCATATTCGTAAACATTGATTTACTTTTGCAGGTACTGTGTATGGAAATGAAATTAGACCAACTAAAACTGAGGAGTTTGCTGTTGAGGGTTCAAGTATTACATTATCCTGCAGTTATTCATCTGCACGGTCTTTATTCTGGTACCGTCAGTATCCCGGATCAGCTCCTGAATTCCTTGTAACCCTCACATATCGATAACAGAAGCTAAGAAGTCTGATGTAGATCCCAGATTCATTGCTAAACCCAACAAAGAAAAGCAAAACCATGTGGATCTGGAGATCTCCTCTGCTAAAGTGACATACTCTGCTTTGTACTACTGTGCCATGGAGCCCACATGCACAGGAAACACAAAAACACTGTACAAAAACCTGACACATCTGAGAATACAAATCTATTTATAGGAGGGGATTTATAAGAGAATACTTAAATATATATGAAAATGAGTCAATATGTTTCATACTACACACTAAAAACTTGAAGTGTTGAGCACATGCATGCGTACAGTTCGAGAAATCAAACATATTTATTTACAGTATATATTAAGTTGCAAAAACAATATTAAATGTCTAAAAATATAATTAAATAATATTATATTCCCTGTGAGTGTAAGGACAGCATATAATACTGAGCTGCTATGATACAATCAACAAAACTGTGCTCTTTATAAAATATCAAAACTAAAATTAATTACCCTCATCATAATAAAAATTACCCTAATCATCATAAATCAATTTTCTGTTGTAGTACACCATGTTACACCCATCCATAGTGCATGAAAATCAGGAGGAAACATTAGTGATTGTAACTGATTGTATCCTTCTTCTGTTCTCCAGGAGTGAAATGTAAATAGAGAGGAGGGTCTACACAGATCTGACACAATCTAATCAAATCAGACTGGAGTAGAAACGATTCAGTCGTCCAGTGAACACAGTGCACTGCACAATGGATGTCTTTTCACTTTTTCTCTTCTGCAGTCTGGCATGTATGTATATTTATATAAGTCTTATCAATATTGTTAAAGATTAGATTAATTAAAACATATGTCATTAAACATGTACCTCTTCTTTTTCAGCTGCTGTCTCTGGAAACATCACACCAGACGAAACAGAGCATTTTGCTGAGGAGGGTTCAAATGTTACATTATCCTGTAGTTATTCCTCTGCAGATTATCTATACTGGTATCGTCAGTATCTTGGATCAGCTCCTGAATTTCTCGTGCTCATCTTTGATGGTGCATCAAACACCGAAAAGTCTGATGTAGATCCAAGACTTTCAGTTAAACTCACAAAACGGGAACAAAAGCATGTGGATCTGGAGATCTCCTCTGCTGCTGTATCAGACTCTGCTCTGTACTACTGTGCTCTGAGGCCCACAGTGACAGGAAACACATCAGCTCTCTACAAAAACCCTTTACCCAGTGAGAGCGAGCAAGAATATAGATCATGCAGTCTTAAATTGACATTATGACATTCATACAACATACAGTACTGTCCTTCACTTTGCATGCACTCCACTTTTGCCAAGTAATATAATAGGTTCTATATGCTATAAAAAGTGTTAAATGATAATCACAATGTGCAAGTACATTTCTACCACAGGGCTGCTCTTGAGAAAATGCACACATGGATCTTTCTTTCCTTGCATGAGGAGAAAAGCTGATGATAGATAGATAGATAGATAGATAGATAGATAGATTGAATAGTTTGTATGCAAAGCAAACAGCATCATGTGACAGGAAGTTTCTGGGTGTCTTTATGACCGTCAGTGTCTCATACACAGTGCAGAATATTGAAAGGCTCAAGAAAGAACTGAGCTGATCTTATTCAACATGGACAGATGCTTTCTAATCATTGTTATTATGGGAACAGGTACATTAATTATTCAGAAAATGAAGAAACAGTGGAGTTTGGAAAATCTAAATCTCCACAATGTTTTAACAAACTTATTTTAGTCATTTTTACTGTTTGCGTGGTGTCTTGTGTTGGAAATGTGTTTGGTTTTCTGTATATTCTGTTTTTTGTTCGCAGGTTTGGTGTCCGGGGACAGTATTGAGCCAGACAAAGAGAAAAATGTTATCACAAAAGAAACAGAGACTGTCAAGCTGAGCTGCTCGTATAGTACAACTAGCAATGATGTTCGTCTTTACTGGTACAGACAGTATCTACATGGGGAAATTATGTTTTTAGCATATAAAGGTGCTCGATCACTGAGTGCTGCAAAAACTGCTGATGATCGGTTTCATGCAACTACAACACAAACATCCACTGAACTCACTATTACTGATTTACGTCTGTCAGATTCAGCTCACTATTATTGTGCTCTAAGAGTAGGAGCCCAGTGATACAAAACATGAGAAATGTCATACAAAAACCTGAAGCTCTTTTCACTTTCAACTAATAGTGAAAACCACAATCAAAACCACAATCTATCCAGCCCTGAATGTAATAAAGTTTGTGGCAACACCTGTGAAGTAGATTAATTTACAGCATAAAAGTAAACCAGGAAGAAATCATTAAAATATATTCAGTTTTAATGTGTCATTAGTTCCCTGCATGAATACAATATTAAATGCATCTATGTTTATTCAACAACTTCCTCTTCTTTTAATTTAAGGTGATCAGTAAAATAAATAAATAAAATAAAAGTCAAAAATGATAAATGGAAACCTGTTTTGCCTTTTCTTTTTTTAAATAGTAGTAATGTAATTGCACATCTTTGCCACCTTGAGGCAAAACTGTATCATGTTATACATACAAGCTCCTCCTATATGTGTTTAACCTGTGCAAACACACAGTGAAATCCAAACTCAGACTGGCTCATCATAATCATAAACTCAGACTGTTAATAATATTTCGCTAATATTGCAGTTTTTATGTAAAGCTTTATGTAAACTATGTTAAACTGTTTGAGGAATTTACTTCTATTAGCTGCAGTTGGTAACTTGCCTTTATTTCTTATTGTCTTTACATCAGAATATGTCACTGTCAACTCTCTCCAGTGGTAAAACCAGCATCTCAGAGCAAACCCTGAGTTTCTACTTCTTGTAACTGAATATTGAAGCAAATCTGAGTCTGATCTTTGTCTGTATTCAGAAGCTACAAAAGAAATCAAATCAATGACTGAAATTATCAGAGATAAATCCAAAAACTACTCTGGGTCTTTGTAACATTTTATGAAGCAACTGTATCAAAAAGGAGACAATGACAAAATTATACTTAAATGTATTGCCTTTTTTTGGAGAGGGAGGGGCTTGAAGTATATCTGTGAGGATATTTCATAAGATCATTCAAGCTCAGACTGTAAGCACACATATACGACTGTACAATGATACTCCATTTAGTTATTCTGCTTTCTGCTTTGGCATGTAAGTTTCATTTGAATGCATTAGGCCTACATTTAGCCTATTTTCACAATGAAGTATGTTAATTAATAATTAATCATATGGTCTTATTTGGTGGGATATAAAAGTGCTCTAAGTAAATGAACTACTGAAATTTTAATGTTTCAGTATCAGTATAGTCATATAATATTAACACTAATATTATTAAGTTTAAGACTAAAACTAACATTTCGCTTTTCTTTGCAGGTGCCAGTAATGCAGATACTATTACACCAGACAAAACAGAGGAATTTGCTGCTGAAGGTTCAAAGGTTAAAATATCCTGCAGTTATTCATCTGCATTGTCTTTACTTTGGTACCGTCAGTATCCCGGATCAGCTTCTGAGTTCCTTGTGCTCATCGTAGACAGTGTAAAAAAACCTCAGATGTCTGGTGTAGATTACAGACTCACTACTAATATCAGAAAAACAGAAAAACAAAACCATGTGGATCTGATCATCTCCTCTGCTGCTGTATCAGACTCTGCTCTGTATTACTGTGCTCTGAGGCCCACAGTCACAGGAAACACAAGAACGCTGTACAAAAGCCTGACTATAAAAGAAAACAATGGTCTCCTAATGATAGGCAGAAATACAGTAGGATTTGAGGGTGAAACACTCATAAAAAAGCTCTGAAACATTACAAAAGATAAAATAACCAAGCTCACTTTACATCTATGTCCACAGAACTGCATAAAGCTCCCATATTTCCACAGAATTGGACCATTCACATCACCTGTGATCTTTGCTCCGCACATACTGTAGGCTATGTACACAATTGTAAATACAATGTAAGTACAATGATACATGTTTGTCAGAAGTGAATATTATCAATAACTGAATGTTGGCATTGGGAACAGTGTTAAATATTGCTATGCTATTATTGAATGTTCTCATAAAACTCATTCTGGTAAAATCTCTTTACAATAATATCATGAAGAGGGCAGTATACACACACTACTACTTTTGTTTATGTTTAACCTCTCCTCTCCTTCTAAGAACTATCCTATTTCCTACTGAAACAAATGACTGAATGAATGAATGATTTATCGTTTTCTCCTGTTTCAGTCACACTTAAAATGATAACTCCTATGTTGTTGAAGTTGCAATATCCTGAAGAGGGCAGTATACACACACTACTACTTTTGTTTATGTTTAACCTCTCTCCTTCTAAGAACTATCCTATTTCCTACTGAAACAAATGACTGAATGAATGAATGATTTATCGTTTTCTCCTGTTTCAGTCACACTTAAAATGATAACTCCTATGTTGTTGAAGTTGTTCATTTTTGCATCAGTTTATCATGGTAAGTGGGGGAATTTGTCATTTTGTAATTACTTAAAACAGTTTTATAACCTTACTATAGGTAAAATTTTTACAATTTATTAAAAATTTTTTTACGTCTTTACAGAGTGTCATGGAGAAGACAGTGTTGATCAGCCAGATAAACACATCACTGAATTTGAAGGAAAACCAGTAACATTGCAATGCAAATATAAAACCTCTTCATCACAACCGAACCACTTCTGGTACATCCAAAGAGCTAATGACTTTCCCAAATACATGCTGAGGAGAAATAAATATGGAGGTGAAGATAATGACGCTCAGTTCCAGGAGAGATTTGACTCTGAAGTGTCATCAGATTCAGTTCCACTGACAATCCAGAATCTGCGTGTGTCTGACTCTGCTGTGTACTACTGTGCTCTGAGGCCCACAGTGACTGAAACACACTCAACACTCACACAAAAACAGAGGAAGTGCTCAATTATATGACTTGCAAATCTCCGTGATATTGACTTCTGTACCACAACAATAATATGCATACAATCAAAAATGTAAGTATTTTTAAACTAATCTTGATTTGAAACTGCATTTCATAACCATCATGACCTGTGATCGGTTTAATATGAAAGGACGCATGTACAAATGTTCTTTACCGTAAAGTGGTTTACTGCTGTTTATGCATTAGTGAATCCAGTGACTAAACCATCAACTTTACACTGTTCCTATTAGTAGTGTGGAAACTCTGTTATCTATATTGTGATTATTTAAGATACAGAAAGCAATCAAAGATTGTTCTCTTTATAATCACTGGAGCAGTCATTTCAAGGTCAGCATGAATCTACATTTTCACTAAAACTCCTGTTATAATCAATGAGAGTTTGCACTGCTCAACGCGTCATGTTTTCACTGTGTTAGTTATGGTAAAAGTATTTCAGATATTACTGCTACAGTGCAGCGCTGCAACCTTTCATGGAACAGGAGTAGTTCTAAATAAAATGCCATAATCAACACTTCTAATAATCACATCTAGTTAATTTTGGCGGCTGTTATAAAATCACAGTAAATGCTTTCAACACAGTTCCGCATGTGTTTACATTGAATTCTCACAGCAGACACGTTCCTTCCAACAGAGCTTCCAAATCAGAGAGCTAAATTCAGGGTAGAAAATGCCCATTTATATTTAAATTTTTTTGAAAAAAAAAAATTATAAATCCTTTAAATTAATGTAACTTTCAAAGTATATTAAGCATGCTAATACTGTTTATTATGTACAAAATTACATTTATTACATACAAAATTATTCATACAAAAGTAGTCTATAGTTTATGTTTCATGGATTATCATGTGCAACACATTGTGCCAGTATAATGTGCCACAAGATGGCAGTGTTCTGCAGCAGAGAACAACATAATTTAATTTACAGAACTGAACTTGGGTATAATGTGGCTCAGAGAGGAGGGATTCAAGTGTTCACAGATCTGACATGATCTAACTGTGTCTCACAGAGACTTTCAGGCTGACTCTTCCCAGAGTGAACACTTGTACAATGGATCTTCATTCAGTTATTCTATTTTGTGCATTAGCAGGTATTTATTTGGTTAATTATTAATTTTTCTGTTTTATTTAAAAGATTTCATTAAGAAGAAATGTTTTCTTTTTCAGCTGCTGTCTTTGGAAATGGCATCAAACTAAACAAAACCGATGTCGTTTATGAGGAGGGTTCAAATGTTATATTGTCCTGTAGTCATTCACCTGCAGCTACAGATTATATCCACTGGTACCGTCAGTATGAAAGATCAAAACCTGAATTTCTTGTACTATCCTTCGCTAGTGCAAAAAAAGCTGAGATGTCTGATGTAGATCCAAGATTTTCGGTTAAAGTTGAAAAAAGGGAACAAATCCATGTGGATCTGAAGATCTCCTCTGCTGCTGTATCAGACTCTGCTCTGTACTACTGTGCTTTGGCGCCCACAGTGACAGGAAACACATCAGTTTCCTACAAAAACCTGTTACAATGGGAGAGGAGAGGAAAACAGAGAAAGAGAAAAAGACAATGAGAAAGTGGTAACTACCCATTACAATAATAAGTCAGAGAAATAACAGGAACAGTGAATAAATCTCAGGCAGTTACCTAAATCAAATGTAGACAACTCATTTAATCAGTCTATTGGTAAAGCAATCAAAAACAAAGGAACAGTCTAAAAGTAAGTGAATTAAATCCCTACAATATTGTGATACAATCTTGTTTAGAAAACAGTCAAATGTGGCAAACATCAAAACATCTCAAATGATTCTCGTGTGCAATATAAGGGGCAGGATCATTTATGCCACACGATGGCAGTGTTCACATACATTCACATGGAGATAATGCTATATTTCAAATGATATAATATATAAAAATAGCGAGACTATACAACTGCAAAATATTTTTTCAAATATATTTTCACCAGTTGATATTTCCATGATCATGACAAATGTGGGGAAATTAAACAGTCCAATATGCAAGCCATGCCTGTATGTTGCAGGAAGTTCCTGTGTGTGTTTCTGACTGATCTGCAGTGACAGTGACTTACAGCTCAGAGCACTGAGAGACTCAACAGAGAACTGAACTGATCTGATTGAACATGGACAGATGTTTTATACTGATTCTCATTGTGGGAACAGGTACATTATCGGCATCCTGGCCAAATTTGCCCATTGGCCTCTGATCATCATGGCCTCCTAATCATCCCCTTATCTACTGATTGGCTTCATCACTCTGTCTCCTCTCCACCAATAAGCTTGTGTGTGGTGGGCGTTCTGGCGCACTATGGCTGCTGTCGCATCATCCAGGTGGATGCTGCACACTGGTGGTGGATGAGGAGATACCCCCTGACAATGTAAAGTGCTTTGAGTGCCTAGAAAAGCGCTATATAAATGTAATGAATTATTATTATTATTATTATTTGCTGAACGGCTGATGAAACTGAACAGTTTTAAAACATAAAACCCCAAAAGCTATATGATTTAATTGACTGATTGCTGGTTTCATAAAAAAGTCCATTGTATTTGCAATATTATTTAGTTTATTTTGTATTATTTGTTTATTACTATTTTGGTCATATGTGCTTATTGTTGACAGGTCTGGTGGCTGGAGACAATATTGAGCCAGATAAAGGGACAGAAAAACTTCTAAAGAAACAGAAACTGTCAAGCTGAGCTGCTCATATAGTACAAATAGTGATTATGTGTGTCTTTACTGCAGACAGTATCACAACAGAGAACCACAATTCTTATTATATAAATATGCAAGGTCATCAGGTGGTTATGAAGACACCTCTGATAATCGGTTTCATTCGACTACAACACAAATATCCACTGAACTCACTATCACTGATGTATGTCTGTCAGATTCAGCTCACTATTATTGTGCTCTAAGAGTAGCCCAGTGATACAAAACATGAGACATGTTGTACAAAAACCTGAAGCTCTTTTCACTTTGAAAATATCTAGTGAAAACCACAATCTATGCAGCTCTTAATGTAATAAAATATGTGGTCACACCTGTGTGAGTCTAAATTAGGCGTGTTATAAAACAAAAAAATAAATTAATTAATTAATTAAATTTAAAAAATAACAATATGTACAGAGTATCACATTTCATTGTTACTTCAGTGCAACACACAACTTAATTTCAACCTTCTCCTACCTTCTTATTAATACATTTTAATAATCTTTTTTTCTTCTTCATTTTTTCAAGACAATTATATGTAGGTCAGTATTAAAACTCATCTATAAAATATTCTGCATTGGTAGAATAAAATAATTTAGTAAAACAATATCATTTGAAAAACATCCAAACCATTTGTTTGCATCCAAACCAAATCTGGTTCAAAAGATAAGACATAATTAGTATTACATGTATTTTTTAATTAAATATTACTAATATGACAAATTTTTATAACCTAGTTTACATAATTACACTATTCTTGGCTTGACCATTAGCCTCAGCAACTTATTTACCTCAGCAAATGCAAAACCACATGCGCTTGATACATTCTTATGTTGATATTAATAATAAATTACTTATTAAAAATAAAATAACATTAAATGTACACACATTCACACATTTCATTTCCTATTTTTAGAAATTAAACACTCCAACAGTGGGTGGAGTTTATTTACACTGCTGAGAGTGTGAGACAGAGTCAAACAGTTGTTCAAAATACTGTTTTTGCCATCACTGTCTCTCTGAAGACATCATGTTTGTCTTTACCTGGATGATAATTCAACTTTTCACGGGTAAGAGATATTCATCTAATCAATATGTTTATTATGGAAAAACAACAACAACAAAAATCAATAAACAGCTGAAAAAACTTGAAAAAATTATACTAATGTGCTGCTTGATTAATTGGGACTCTTCTCTTTTCCACAGAAACGTCTTTTGCTGACACAATACAACCATTGTCTTCAGAAAAATATGTTGTTGAGGGTAAAAATGTGACGCTGTCTTGTAATTACAGCACCAGCAGTGGCAATGTTAACTCTCTCCAGTGGTATCGCCAGTATGTCGGAGCAAAACCAGAATTCCTACTTCTTGTAAATGAATATTCAAGTAAATCTGAGCCTGATCTTCGTCTGTATTCAAAAGCTTCAAAAGAAATCAAACGTGTGGATCTGGAGATCTTCTCTTCTGCTGTATCAGACTCTGCTCTGTACTACTGTGCTCTGCAGCCCACAGTGACAGGAAACACAAGAACACTGTACAAAAACCTGATACACTGTATTGCATCTGTATTACACAAATGTGTTTCATAAACTGGTGGACTCAACAAATGTTCAGGAGGACCTTTTTCACATAGTCCTTTCGATCTATGTATGGGATAATGTACAGTCACTGTCAGCCACATATAAATGAATATGAAATTGATTTTACAGTTAAAGTTTGAGTTTATTTTAATCTTACCTGTTGCTATGTTGACTTAAAGCTTCCGCTAATGAAAAAAAAACTAACAAAAAAAACAGTCCACAACAACAAAGTGTGTGTCGGTCAAAAATGACCTTTTCATTTATTTCATTTCAATGAGATAGATACGGTATTCTATATTTTAGTTTGATAATGGTTTTTATTTAATATTTTGTATTTTTAGGGGATATATTGTACTAAATTATACTTATGCAGTAGTTATAATTCATTTATTGCTTATTAACCACTTTTTGACCACTAAATAACTGAAGATTATCAATAACTGAATGCTGACATTGGGAACAAGGTGTTAAATATTGCTCTGTCATATGCTACTGAATAATAAATACAAAACTCACTCACTAAAATCTTTTTGCAATAATATCCTGAAGAGGGCAGTATACACACACCACTTAATATATATATATATATTTTTTTAGTTTTTAAAAAAAATTTCCCTTATCTATTTAACCTCTCCTCCTCATGAACCATCCTATTTCTTACTGAAACAAATGATTGAATTAATGATTTAGTTTTTCTCCTGTTTCAGTCACATGTAAAAATGATAACTCCTATGTTGTTGAAGTTGTTAATTTTTGCATCAGTTTATCATGGTAAGTGGGGGAGTATGTATTTTCATGATTACTTCAAACAGTTTTATAACCTTATTAAAAGTTAATTTGATTTTTTTACAGTTTTTTATTAGATTTTTTGTCTTTACAGAGTGTCATGGAGAAGAGCGTGTTGATCAGCCAAATCAACACATAGCTGAATTTGAAGGAAGATCAGTAACATTACAATGCAAATATAAAACAACATCACCACAACCAGAACTTTTCTGGTACATTCAGAAAGAAAATGACTTTCCTAAATACATGCTGAGGAGAAACAAATATGGAGGTGAAGATAATGACGCTCAGTTCCAGGAGAGATTTGACTCTGAAGTGTCATCAGATTCAGTTCCACTGACAATCCAGAATCTGCGTGTGTCTGACTCTGCTGTGTACTACTGTGCTCTGAGGCCCACAGTGACTGAAACACACTCAACACTCACACAAAAACAGAGGAAGTGTTTAATTATATGATGAAGTGCAAATCCACATGCTATTTACCTCTGTCCCACAACAATAACAAGCAAATAATAAAAAAAAATCTTTTAAACATAAATTACATAGTGCTGTGCATAGTGAATGTCATCAAATTATTGAGAGCTTTAGTATTATAACAACCCAAGTATGAGGAATAATATAGATCATTCTATTAGTTGTGTTCTGAGGATTTATATGACAGAGTTAGTAAGTAATCACAAGGGGGGAAATTGGATATGAATAGTAATCAAATGACCCAGTGGTGTTTGAAACAGATCTGATCTTCTCCCTCAAAGAGCTCTCTGGAAGAGGTGGGGTTTAAAGCACTAATACCTGATGTGATCTTTAACTTCAAGTCTGTTAGAGAGAGAAAAAGAATCACACACAATGATGCTCCATTCTGTCATTCTAATTTCTGCCTTTGCATGTAAGTATTGAAGTGTTTTGTGTTTTGAAACTAAATATTCAAAATTACCTACAGATTCAATATTAATACCAGTTCATGAAAGATTTCCCATACTTTTGCAGATACAATATATGGAAATGAAATTAAACCAACCAAAACAGAGGAGTTTGCTGACGAGGGTTCAAGTGTTAAATTATCCTGCAGTTATTTATCTGCATTAACTCTCTACTGGTACCGTCAGTATCCTGGATCAGCTCCTGAGTTCATTGTGCTCATCTCAGACGGATCAAAACAAGCTCAGGAGTCTAATGTAGATTCCAGATTCACTGCCAAAGTCACCAAAGACAAAGAAAAACTTGTGGATCTGGAGATCTCCTCAGCATCTATATCAGACTCTGCTCTGTACTACTGTGCTCTGCAGCCCACAGTGACAGGAAACACAAGAACACTGTACAAAAACCTGACACACAGCATTGCATCTACATGACCAACCTCCATATCTGCTAGTTACAACAGGGAACACTCTTTCAATCAGCAAAAAGCAGTATACATGGATTGTCATTCTCAACATAAAAAAGTCATAACAGAAAAGAAGACATACAAAGATTCAAAACAAAGACTTAAAAGATGCTTCTCTGGGTCTTTATAACATTTTATAAAACAGCCATATTTAAAGAGATCAAACTCATAAAATCATAAAAATCTACACTGTAAAAATGACCGTGAATTTAACGGTAAAAGACTGTAAAAATGCTACAGTAAAATCCTGTTAAATGGTTAACGGTAAATTCCCGTACTATATACGGTGAAAAACTGTATTGGACATTACATGTATTGGACATTAATTTTACGGTAGTATACCGTATTTGGAAGTGAAAAAGACCGTATAATTTACAGGGAATAACCGTAAATTGACATTCCCAGAATTCCCTGCATTACATTTCAAATTTGATGTTTTTTTGTTGAAATAACTATGTTTCTTCTTAGTTTTTTCTTATCAGTTTTGTATATTAGCGTTGTGCGTTACACCTAATGTTGTTCAGTTAATGTTTATTGCATTATTTCAGTTTCATGTGTGTTACCATGATGGTGTTTGGTGTTTGTGTGAATGACACTGTGCACCTTCTATATATGTTATTATTTAAAAGCTGCTTGTGATGGGCTTTGGTTCATCATGTGACTTTCTCATCACCATCTGCATTTGGTGGTTATCAGTGTATTACAAAGGTACAAAACAGATTTTAGTACTTCAATAGGTTGGTATATAATAACATTTTATCAGTTAATGAAATTACGTTATTTAACTGTAAATTTAAGTTACAACTGTAAAACCTAAAACGTTGCTACCGTATTTTTTACGGTAAAATTCCGGCAACCACAGCTGCCGGTTTTCTACCGTAAATTTTACGGAATTTTTTTTACAGTGTACTTTAGATGCATTTATTCAGTTACTTTATTCAGTTATTACTAAAATAAGTGAGCAAATAGCTTTAAAATATACAGAAACATAACATAAATATAGTGGTAATTAAGCATTTGTTCAAAAACACTATTTATACCAATCTTACATTTATAAAGAATTGTTCAGGGTTTGCATCATGTTTAGCATTTTCAAACTTGATCCACAAGGAGTCAGTATGAGTATATAATGTGACATGATTTAAAGAAGAGCTCTGTGAGATGAGCACAAAGTTTTTGAAAGCAGAGTTGAGTGAATTTTCTGTTCTTTTACCTCACACATCAACTATGTTTAGATGGGCTTTGATTTCTCTGTGCTTCATAGTATATTGTGATGGTAAGCACATTTTTGTTTCTGCATACTTTTACAGCAAAAGGGTTTACTTAAATATAGGTTACTAAATGTTTACACTTACCTTCCTAATAATTCATGCTAGTGATTTACTTTTTCTGTCTATTTTTCCAGTGTCTTCGGGACAGGACAGGGTTGAACAGTCTTCAGGAGAAATGACTGTGAGTGAAGGAGCTCAAGTTATTGTATGGTGTAAATATATTACCACTGATACAGACCCATACCTCTTCTGGTACCAACAGCTACCAAACAGATCAACAACATTTATTCTAAATAAATTAACTTTTGGTGAGGGAACTACTGAGCCTGATTTTAAGAAGAGATTTTCTGCAACACTGAATTCAACATCAAAAACAGTCCCACTGATGATCAAGGATGTGCGTGTGTCTGACTCTGCTCTGTACTACTGTGCTCTGAGGCCCACAGTGACAGGAAACACAAGAACACTGTACAAAAACCCTGTAAATAAATAGTACTGGAATGGTTGTCCATACATAATCCCTAGGGATTGATTCATTAGGCGTATAAATTGATCCTGATAGACTACCACTACAATAACATATAATTTTATATAATATATATTAACATATAATTTAAAAAAATTTACCCATTACTAAATATGTAATGGCTGGGTTTAGAATGTGTAGATTTGACAATAATTTTTTGCCGTTAAAAAATGAAAAAGGATGAAAGAGGAGGAGTTTGGCACATCCATTTGAGATGATCTTGTTACATTTTCTTGACTGTCACAAAGCTCAGTCCTGCTGTAGTGACACACACATATACAATGATACTTCATTCAGTCATTCTGCTCTCTGCCTTGACATGTAAGTGTATTTGTTTATGTATTGCATGCATTTGTATTTCTAATGTTAAGGATATACACATTTTATATCGTCATAAATAATTTTCTCATCTTAAATGCTAAATTATTTTTATTTAATTGAAACATAAAATATTGCATCCTAAATGTATTTTTTTTTTACTATAATGACAATATAGCATTAAAATTTACCTGTATATATAGTATTTTTATTTATTGTATGTGTATAATTTCAAATAATTGATCATTGTAATCAATCAAATTCAAACACTATTTGAAAAGTTATTATTTTGCACTTTCCAGGTGTGAGTTTTGGAGATGAAATCACAGCAGACAGCACTGAGAAATCTGCTGCAGTGGGTTCAACTGTTACTTTATCCTGCAGTTATTCCTCTGCACAATCACTTCAATGGTACCGTCAGTATCCCGGATCAGCTCGTCAATTTCTTGTGCTTATAATAGAGAGTGTGAAAGACACTAAGACATCTGATGTAGATCCCAGGTTCTCTACTAAACTCAGAAAAGAAAAACAAGCCACAAAAGAAATCAAACGTGTGGATCTGATCTTCTCCTCTGCTGCTGTATCAGACTCTGCTCTGTACTACTGCGCTCTGACGCCCACAGTGACAGGAAACACAAGAACACTGTACAAAAACCTGACACAGATGAAGGTGTACAAACAATTTCTTTCCATAAATCTACTTGTAATATACATAGATTATAAGTGTATTTGGGGTACCACCTAGAGGGAGTATAACAGAAATAGAGGAGGAGAAGGGGAGGTGGAGGGATGCCGGAAGAATTGATGCTGGGGCGGTCCAATGAGAGCTGCTTACATAGGTTCGTAATGACGTTTGAACGGTCTGAATGATTAGGCTGCTCAAGAATCTACATTTGGAACTTCATTTAATATTACTAACACTATTTATTCGAAGTGTACACTTGGATGTAAATCACTTAAAAAGTCACTACACTCAATAAAACCATGTGGATATGATCATCTCTGCTGCTCTGAAAACAATAAAGCTAATATAAAATAAAATAAAATATGCAAATAAGGAAAGAAATAGTATTTTCTTTTTTTTCCTACTTTGAAAATTAAACTTCATTTGAAATGCTTTTGGGTAACCATAAGATGGCGAATTACACCATATATTCATATTTTCAAGCCTCATTCCAGGATCATTAGCTCCTCCTTTTCTATTTAATTAACAGATATCTCTTTTACACATCTGTTGCTCTACCTCTTTAATTGTATATAAAATAACAACAAAAAACGAGTCTGGTTGGGGTTCTATCAATATTCACAATTGTTCTTGGTGAGATTATTTGCCACTCTTAAATATTTAGTTTTGTTTGTATATTATATTATTATTATTTTTTATTTTTTTTACTAAACTGCCAAACAGGATCATCAACAGAGAGCAGGAAGTTCCTGAGTGACTGTATGACTCAGATCCTGAGTAACTGCAGAAACTCAGAGCATCACAATCATCATCACAACCTACAACACAGAACACAGCATCAACAGAACTGATCTGACTTAGTAAACATGGACAGACAGCTGGTTCTGATTGTAATCATGACTTCAGGTAAAATACTCTTTGATGCCAATGCTAATGAAAATAGTGTAATGTGACTGAATTCAACCCACATGTGCTTTAAAATGTAAGCAAAATATTATGTTTATGTTTGCAGGTGTGACGGCTGGAGACCAGATTTGGCAGTACAGAAGGAGAGTCTGACACTGAGCTGCTCATATGATACAAGCAGAAGCTATGTTACACTTTACTGGTACAGACAGTATCTTAATAAAGAACCTCAGTATTTAATATGGAAATATGCTCGTTCATGGAGTGGTACTGGGACCCCTTCTGAACTTCGCTTTCAGTCGACTACATCAGAATCATCCACTGAACTCACTATTACTGGTGTAACTCTGTCAGATTCAGCTCTCTATTATTGTGCTCTAAGAGTTGGAGCCCAGTGATACAAAGCCACTGCTGTACAAGCTGTACAAAAACTCAAATTCATTTTTCACTTTGAAACTGAACCACATCAAAACCACAGTCTGTTATACACAGAAACTAATAAATTATGTGGAAACATCTGTCTAAATGTGATAAGAAATAGTTTCCAGATATGTTAAAAATGTAGAAATAAATAAAAAAACATTAAATTTCAGCTATTTTATTTATTATTATTAATTATTATGTATTTATTATAGATTGTGTCTGTATACTGTCACAGCTATTATGATACATCTCTTATGATACCATAATATGATACCAAAATACTGTAAATACTATAGGACATTACTATTATAAACTAATGAATAAATATTGTAATTTTGGGGTAAATGGTTTCTAGAATTAGAATGATCTTTCAAAGTACTCCAATGAATTCATTCATTTAAAGCACTGTTAACTTTTTTTGGCCAACAGAAATCTGATGAAACAAATCAAAGTAGATAAAGATGCAAATACACAGAAGAATCTAATTATGTCATGTGGTAAGCACATTCAAAACTCCTAATTTTGTGGTAAAATCACAGAAAGATACAACCTCTTACAGCAATTTTCACACTCAATGTAGTTGGAATGAACTGCTTCTAAACTTGAATCAATCGCATGAACCTCAAAGCATCACAACAAACAAAAACACCCCAAGATTAGCTCTTCAGTGAACATTTAACTAACACATAAGCATATGCAGTGAGGACCTGATTATTGGATTCAAAATCTATTTTAAATCTGGAACAAACTTACACTTTGAAATATTTAAAACAAGAAAATTTATGACACTAAATAAATAAAACATTTAAGATTCAGAAATATTTTTCAGGTCACTAATGATATTTGTGACATTGACTGTGGTAACTATTATCATAATACAAAATGTATAATGTCACTGTTAATATTATTGGTTCATTAATTGTTCATGTTTTGTATTTATCTTCAAAATCATCTGCTTAATAAATAATCTATACTTTTCTTCAGTTGCAAAGGCTTTAACCAATGGCGGGGCAAACACATGAGAAGCAGTAGATGGTATCATCACACAGAAAGCAGGAAGTTCCAGTGTGTTTGAGTGTGAAACTGCAGAGACTCACAGTAACACAGATCTACAGCTCAGAGCACAGAGAACATTAATACACACCTGATCTGACCTAGTCAACATGGAAAAACACCTGTTTCTGATTTTAATTACGATTTCAGGTATAATTGATTAATTTATTTTTATTACAGTGGTATTAATGAGATCATTTGAGATTTATTTTTTTTATTATTTTTTAAAATTATTTTTTAAAATTTATTTTAGGTGTGATGACTGCGGACCAGATTTGGCCAAACAAAGATGCTGTTGTCATAAAGGAAGATGAGACTGTGGCCCTCAGCTGTTCATATACAAGCAGTGGTTATGCATATTTGTATTGGTACAGACAGTATCCTAACAAAGAGCTTCAATATTTAATATATTCTGCACAATCAAGTAGTGGAAGGTTTCGTGTGACTAAATCACAAACATCCACTGAACTCACTATTACTGGTGTAACTCTGTCAGATTCAGCTCTCTATTATTGTGCTCTAAGAGTAGCAGCCCAGTGATACAAAGTCTGCGTGAAGCCGTACAAAAACTCAAATTTATTTTTCACTTTGATGGCAAGTCACATCAAACCCACAATCTATAATTCACACAATATTATTAAACTTGTGGAAACATCTGTTTATGGTTACTGAAAGGGTAACGAAAAGGAAACAAAATATAGCAGAATAATTCCCTACTTCCTTACAGTACATCACAGTACATCACACATCTCTTAAAGAAAGTTTTCCAGTGATAAGTCAAATTCTTCATACAGTGCAAACTAAATATGTCCAGTATGTCCTGATTCCCAATTTTAATTCTTATGTATTCTGACATTGATCTGACATTAGTTACAGTTTGTGAATTATGTCAGAATATGTTACAACTGAATTTAATTTAAATTATTACACGGCTGGGTTCTTGTTGGTCAGTCACAACATTCCAAGGTGTGTTATTCCCCAATAACAATTTTAGTCATTAGCAACAGCAAATAACACACCGCTCATCCAGGTACTTTGATGTCTTTCATATCAGAAAGCTGCACTTTTTGCTTTCCTTCAAACGCAACTCATCACTCATTGTGCCTCAGTTATCGACTGTATTTACTGTAAAATGAAACCAGAGGACTTCAGTATTAATAGCAGCGGTAACATTGTTGAAGGGTTGCCAGCAGAGGCGGACAGTAACTAAGTACATTTACTTGAGTATTGTACTTAAGTACACTTTTTGAGTATCTGTACTTTACTTGCGTATTATTTTTTCTGGAAACTTATGACTTTAACTTCACTACATTTGAAAGACAAATATTGTACTTTTCACTCCACTACATTTCTATCAAGATCCTC